TCTCCCGCGAGACGGGGACACGCGCCCGGCCTCCCTCCCACGCTCGCCAGCGCCCGCCAGGGACCGACCTGGCCCCCGAGGTCGGCCCCCCCGCCTGCGACCTCTCGCAGACGTAGCTTTTCTTTCGGTTCGCTCGCTCGCTCGCTCGCTCCGTCGAGCGTGCTGAGCGCGGCGGCGGTGGCGGGAGGGAGGGAGGGGCGGGGTGGGAGAGGGGACACGCGCCCCCGGCGTCTTCTCCCCCCGGCCACGGCGAGCACCGGACGTGCTAGAGGAGGCAGCGACCCGCCGAGGCGGGTGCGACCCGGCGACCGAGGCCCCTCTCCGGGGCGGCTCGCTCGGCAGCAGGCGGGAAGGCGGCACACGGAAGGAAGCCGGCGCGGCCAGAGGCCGCAGCGGAGGGGGACGCCCCCCTGCCGCCCACGGTGGTTCTTTTCGCTTCCCCCCACCTTCTCTCGGCTCAGGCCGCCCCACCGCCCGAGCGCTGCTCGCGGCCGGCACCCGCGGGCACACGGACCGAGGCCAGCACCGGCGCCTCGCGTGCTTTAGGACACCTGAGGGCTCGCGGGGCCACGCGGCCGTCACACAGCCCGGTTCGGTAACAAGTCCGTGGAACCTCCCCCCGCGTCGAGCAGAGAGCACCAAGGACGCGACCGACACGGCGAGGCACGCACCCCGCCGCCGACACGGCCGCGGCTCCTTCTCGCTCGGGGTGTGGGGGGAGGAAGGCGGAGGACGACACCTCGGACGCCACGGGAAGCGAGCTGGAAAGGAGACCGCCCAGCCTGAACACCGGACACCGCCCGCGGCCCGCACGAGGACGGGGAGCGCAGACGAGACCGGCCCGCCGGGGGCCCTCTCCGACGCGACCCGAAAGGCCTCATCGATCGGTCGGGGGAAGACAGGAAAGGAGAGACAAGATGCCCGTAAAAGGCCTCCCACGGTAGGCCAGAACGCTGGTCCGGAGACAGCAGGGCAGCCCGAGCCCAATCCGTGGGGACCCTACTCGGGGCCGGGTGCTCAAAAGGACGACGAGAGCTCCCGCGAGCCACTCTTAATCCCCAGCCATCGTGGTTTTGCTTTCCCGCTCCGCGGGCTCCAGCTTTAACGCCGGCAAAAGAACGAGAAAAGGGCGAAAAGGAGAGCGAAGAGACAGAAGGGAAAAGAAGTGGGGGGGGGGGGGGGGGAAGGGGAAGAGGTGCCGCCACCTCGTCACAACCACCGGGCCCATAGGCAATTGCAAGCAAGAGCCGGAACGCTGCTAAGGCATCTCTGCGCCGGGACGTACCGACGGGCTCGCCCGCCCGTGCCATCATCGGAGGAGCCCTCGCTCAAACTTCACCGACCGGGCGGGGAGAAAAATCGACCTGGGGATCGAGTCCCGCCACGGTCTTCTTCCAGCGTTCGAGTGCCGGCCTCCGCCGCCGGTTTTTTTTGCCCTCACCCCGCGGGAGGGACGAACGAGCCACCTCGGGAAGCGCCGCTCGCTAGCGCTGCTGCGGAGACGAGCCACTACTCGCTCCCATAAAACGGATAGAAACGACTCCTCCCGCGCCGCCACGCAACACCAGAATCTAGGCTCACCCAAGTGGCGAGCAACCGACGAGTAATATTACGAGGATGCAAATGAAGGCATAAAGAGAGGGCCACCCACTCCGCCGGCTCCGGAAGCGGCGCGCCTGACAAGTCCGTTGCAGCACCTCGGAAACGCCAGTGTCTGAAAAGAGGCGAAAATCACCCCAGCGGCGGCGCGAGTTACTCGCCAGATACTCGCGAGGTACTCTCGAGGTACGCCCGAGGTACTCTCGAGGTACGTGAGAGGTACGCGAGAAGTACGCGAGAGGTACGCGAGTACGCGAGAGGTACGCGCGAGGTACGCCCGAGGTACTCGCCAGGTACGCGAGAGGTACGGGCGAGGTACTCCCGAGGTACGCCCGAGGTACGCGCGAAGTAAGTAGGCGAGAGGTACGCCCGAGGTACGCCCGAGGTACGCCCGAGGTACTCCCGAGGTATGCGCGAGGTACGCCCGAGGTACGCCCCAGGTACACGCGAAGTAGGCGCGGGGTACTCCCGAGGTACGCCCGAGGTACTCCCGAGGTACCCGCGACGTACGCGCGAAGTAGGCGAGAGGTACGCGCGAGGTACTCCCGAGGTGCGCCCAAGGTACGCGCGAGGTATTCCCGAGGTACGCCCGAGGTACGCGCGAAGTAGGCGAGAGGTACTCGCGAGGTGCTCGCGAGGTGCTCCCGATGTACTCCCGAGGTGCGCGTGAGGTACTCGGCTCTCCCGTTACCGGCGGTGGCAGCACTGGGCGAGCCGCAGCCGCTGGGTCTGTCGAGGTACCGCCGCCCCCTGTCGCGCCCCGTCCCGTCCCCGGGCCCCGCTCCGCTCGGGGCCGGCCGGCGGACGCCGCCGCCGCCACACGCGGGTGCCCCGTGCAGAGCGGAGCAGCGGGGCCGCGGCCGCTCTCCCCCCACTCCGCAGCCGCCCGGCAGCCGCCACC